CACCAGACACACACTCTCTCTAGTCATAAGCAATCGAAGCTGAAAAATGAGGCCATCTATGAACCTCCTGATCCTTTCCCTATATATGGGAACCAACCAGAGAGCATGACGGGCCAACTCAGAAAATCTCATCTCATACTGCGTCACGGACATATCACCCTGACGAAGCTGCTCGAACATCCTGTGTAGCTCCTCCTTGTGGGACTGGGGCATGAACTTCTCCAGGAATAGACCATAGAACTGATTCTAGGTAATGGGTGCTGAGCCAACCGGACTACGCCTCTCGTAAGCCTCCCACCAACTGAAGGCATCCCCAGAGAACTGAAAAGTAGTGAACGAGACCCACTGGTCTCTTACATACATGTTGTACAGAGTATCCTCTAAAACCTATCCAAGAAGCCATGTGCATTCTCTCCCTCGGTACCACTGAAAGATGGTGGCTAGAGTCTCCCAAACCTCTCCAATCGACTCTTCTCATCATCGGGCATGACAGGAACCACATAGTCCTGAGCAGCTCCAACCGGCTGGGCTGGTGGTGCCCCCGGTGTCTGGAGTCCCCGTACCACCTGCTCTGGTGTGCGGGCGGCAGGAGTCTGAACACCTTCTCCACCCTGAGAAGTGCCTGCTGCTGCCGGAACAGAGACCGCCTCAGCAAGACTGGTGCACATGGTCAGAATCTGAGCGAAGGCCTCCTGAAGGCCTGTAATCACAATGGGCACAGATGGTGCCTAAGCTGGTCCCACAGGCTCCTCCACAACTGGAGCATGCTCCTGAACTAGGGCAACTGATGGATCTATAGGTGCTGCCCTAGCTGCGGTACGAGCTGTACCTCTGCCCCTACCGCAGCCTCTACCGCGACCTCGGCCTCTCACGGCCCTGACTGGTGGTACTGGTGGTTGTCTATCCTGTCCCGTAGCATGCGTCCTCACCATCTCTGAGAGAATAAAACAACAAAAATTCAGTTACGAGAATCAAACGATTCGCACGACAAGAATTCAAGAATGTGAAATTTTCTAAGGGTTCGGCAGCATCTCGAAGATAAGTACGGACGACTCCGTACCGATCCTCAAGACTCTACTAACCCGCGCATGACTCGTGAGATCTATGTAACGTAGGATCTGATACCAATTTTTCATGACCCAAAATTCTAACATGTCGTGATGGCGCCTATCATTGGTACTAGGCAAGCTGATTTTTCAAAATACTTCAAATGTTTCACAAAACAAACCAAAAGCTTGATATGACATATTTTTCATAAAAACAGGAGTTAAATTCAAAATACAACGCGAAAAAATAGCCCCGAACATCGGGGTGTCACCAAATCATGAGCATCTAAACAACTAGTCTAAGAAACAGTGTCTACAAGAGTCTGTGTCTAAATGCCAATACAGAAAAGAAAAATAACGAGAAAGGAGAGACAAGGACTGCGAATGCCCGCGGCTACCTCGTAAATCTCCGATACTCAACCACGCACGAGATCAACGTCCTCCATGACCGGATACACCGGGATCTGCACATGAAGTGCATGGTGTAGCGTGAGTACAACAACCTCAGTAAGTAACAAAAATAAATAAGGAACTGAGAAGTAGCGACGAGCTATACAATTACCGTTCACTTCAGAAATTTCAGCAATGAAAGTAGACATGATTCAATTCCGGCAATATAAGTTCAGTCAGCTATACATTTACTAAGTTCAGATAAACCGGGTACAATATTATATAGAAGTTTAGAACAATGACATAATTCAACTAAGTGCAGCAACAAAGGAAACAAATGCAACCTCTCAGGGTAACAATCACTCAAGCTCTCAATAGCTCAAACACTCGGCTCTCAGCCCTCAATAATCAGACTCAATAGGTACCTATGCTCACCAGGGATGTACAGACTCCGGAGGGGCTCCTTCAGCCCAAGTGCTATATCGCTGCGGCGTGCAGCCCGATCCAATCATATAAGTAGCCATAAGGCTCGTTGTGGCATGCAACCCGATCCATAATCCATAAATAGCCATAAGGCTCATTGCGGCGTGCAACCCGATCCATATACATTCAGCCCTCAGGCTCGTTGCGGCGTACAACCCGATCCATATACCTCACATAGCTCACAGCTCGGCACTCAGGCCCTATCTCAGTCATTAACCTCTCGGGCTCTCAGAAATCATACAAATTAGCCCAAAAGAGATGATAATAAGTATCAACAAGAAAAAAAGAGGAAACGGAGATACGACACGCAAGTAAAATTATGACTGAGTACAAGGCAGCAAATAGCAGCTAATTCAACAAGTACCCGATTGTTGCGGGTCCCAACATTGATATCATATGGCCTAAGCATGGTTGCTAACATGAATGGCAGTCAAATTTCTAGAAGACATAGGGAAACATGTAATTAACAATAAGCTATTCGACTTTACAGTATCACGGGACAGACCAAGTCACAATCCCCCACGGTGCACGCCTACACGTCCGTCACCTAGCATGTGCGTCACCTCCAAAATAATCACATCATACCAAAATATGGGGTTTCATACCTTCAGGACCAGAATTAAGACTATTACTTACCTCAAACAGCGCAAACGAAATGCCTTTGCCCCTCGAATCAATCTCCAAATGCCCCGAATCTAGACACAAGCAGTACGATATAATTAATATAGGCTAAAGGAATCAATTCCACAAGAAAAATATAAAATTATAAGCCAAACTCCGAAATGGGCTCAACCCGGGCCCACGTCTCGAAATCCGACAAAAATCAAAACCCGACAGCCCATTCACTCGATCACGAGTCTAACCATACCAAATTTATCAAAATCCGACACCATTTGGGCATCCAAATCCCCAAAATTCACTCTCCAATTTTCCTAGCCCTAACCTCCCAAATTTCACCTCAAAAACTCACCAATTAGGTAAAAAAATCAGTGGGAAAACATCATTAGTGAAGATAAATGGACACAAGGAGCTTACCTCACTAATCACTTCAAAATCCTTCTCAAAATCCTCCAAAATCCGAGTTCAAAATAGTGAAAATGGTAAAAAATCTCGAAACCTCGCTTATATAGGTTCTGCCCAGGCCTTCCGCACCTGCGGCCATTTACCCGCATCTGCGATTTTGTGAGTGCGAACAAGTCACCCGCTTCTGCGAAGAATTCCGCTCCTGCGGGCTCGCTTCTGCGAAGCCCATCCCACAATCCACTTCCGCCTTTGTGGTCCTACTGCCGCATATGCGGTCATGCAGGTGCGGGAAAAGCATCGCACCTGCGACCATCTGCTGCCTCGCCTCAAGCTCCGCACCACCAGCGCTGCCCTATCCGCCTATGCGAGCTTGCACCTGCGGTTCCCCACTCGCAGGTGCGATTACACCAACAGAAACAACACTTCAGCTATCCTTCAACATCAAACTTTGATCTGTTAGCCACTCGAAATCAACCCGAGGCCCCCAGGACCTCAACCAAATATACCAACAAGTCCTAATTCATAATACGAAATTAGTCGAGCCTTCAAACCACCTCCAACAATATCAAAAACACGAATCGCACCCCAATTCAAGCCTAATGAACTTTGAAGTTTCCAAATTCTATAAACGACGCCGAAACCTACCAAATCACGTCCGATTCACCTCAAATTTTGTACACAAGTCATAAATGACACCACGAACCTACTCCAATTCCCGAAAATCCAATCCGACCCCGATATCAAAATTTTCACTCTCGGTCAAATTTTGCCAAAAATTCCAACTTTCGCCAATTCAAGCCTAATTCTACTACGGACCTCCAAATCACATTGTGGACATGCTCCTAAGTTCAAAATTACCTAACGGAGCTAACGGAATCATCAAAATTCAAATCCGAGGCTGTTTACACATATGTCAATATCCGGCCGACTTTTCCAACTTAAGCTTCCAATTAAGAGACTAAGTGTCTCAATTCACTCCGACATCACTCCGGACCCGAACCAACCAACCCGGTAAATAACATAACAGTTTTAGAACACAATAGAAGCAGAAAATTGGAAAACGGGGCTACAACTCTCGAGACGACCGGCCGGGTCGTCACATTGTTGATACGTGCCGAGATTCCCGCCGTGATATCCGACCGGTTGTGAATACTTCGGCCTTCCGTTAATGGGTCCGTTAATGTTTCCTCGAGCTTGTTCGGAATCGGGATCGATTCTGGAGTCACGGGCTCGAAGATTTTGGAGACATCTGTTCTGACGGTTCCGATCCGTCATGCAATAGATGAGTCCGATTTCGGCTGTATACAGTAAAAATAAGAGAATATTTGAATAAGATAGAAAATCATTGAGTTTGAAGTTAGTACATATTTTGAGTTTCTATTAACTCCTAACTGTCCTAAATAGTCTATTTAGTTTGTAAACACAGTCTATTTAATTGGTTAGCTCTTGACTTTTTAATCAGCTCTTCGTGATAGCATATGGATGAAATATTGACTTGCTTTTGCAATCGAATCAATGTTTTTAGATGTCTCAGAAATTTGAAAAAGTAATTTGTAGGAAAGAACTAATCAATTAATATCCTCCGCATAGATAAGTGTCTATTCCATTTCTTTTTTACTTCGAATTTAATATGCTCAATGATGGTGTCGTGGCGCATGTAAATGACTGTTCCATTTCTTCTCTACTTCAAATATAATTTCCTCAATTGTACTGTTGCCAAAGAACTTGAGACCAATTTTAGTTGATTTCATTGATATTTTGTTCATAGAAAAGCAATAACCATAGCATAATTGTTTGCCTGTGATGCACCTGTTCCTTTCTAGTAAAAGAATCAGAAATTCTGATCGCAATCGAACCTTTTAAATTTGGTCCTTGACAAAAATGACAATTCAACATATCATAATATCATAAACCACCATGCATATTGACATAACTTGCAATATTTATTTCACTAGGATCTTGATCTATATGAACACATATTACACAAATAAAAATAATACTAAAACGAAATTCTAAAATATAATTCACAACTAAATTAAAGACTAACAAAAGAAACATTTATCGATCAAAGGATCCTTCTGGATCCAATTGCTTACGTAGCTCCAAATATGTAAGATAAACAAGTCGATCTTTAGCACCTGTTCTATGATTCTTTGTATGCATACAAAAATATTTCAATGCATCAAGTTTGCAACATCCAATCATTTGCCCTAATAGCAAAAATAGCCAATTAATTGACGACCTTTTTTCGGAAATAACTGGCTTAACACAATTGTTTTGGTTGCAATATTTGCAATTAGGAAGATTAGGATTCATCCAACTAATAGGTGCCCTATCACGCATAACACTCTTAGTTTTTAAGATGAATGTAGCAATCTCTTTGAACTTTTCTTGCAAATCGTATTGAATTTGATATTGTTGTTCGCACTTTTTGCATTGAACTTCACCCGATATAACAATAATACCATTTGATATGAGATATTCGAGTGTGTGTACTATGGCACGTTTCGAAGTTGCCCAAGGATATGGTGGAGTGATTGTTTCACTCTCTCCTTCTTTAAGAGACGGTGTAGATTTTCTTCGTGTTCGTGCAGTTAAACCAACTCTCACACGAGCTCCTCCCGACGATTCATTCATCTGATCATAAACTAGGGTTACGTTTGATTTATTTATTCACTTCAGAAATTTCAGCAATGAAAGTAGACATGATTCAATTCCGGCAATATAAGTTCAGTCAGCTGTACATTTACTAAGTTTAGATAAACCGGGTATAATATTTTCCAGAAGTTTAGAACAATGACATAATTCAGCTAAGTACAGCAACAAAGGAAACAAATGCAACCTCTCAGGGTAACAATCACTCAAGCTCTCAATAGCTCAAACACTCGGCTCTCAGCCCTCAATAATCACACTCAATAGGTACCTGCGCTCACTAGGGGTGTACAGACTCCGGAGGGGCTCCTTCAGTCCAAGCGCTATATCGTTGCGGCGTGCAACCTGATCCACAATCCATAAATAGCCATAAGGCTCATTGCGGCGTGCAACCCGATCCATATAAATTCAGCCCTCATGCTCGTTGCGACGTACAACCTGATCCATATACCTCACATAGCTCACAGCTCGACACTCAGGCCCTATCTCAGTCACTAACCTCTCGGGATCTCAGAAATCATACAAATTAGCTCAAAAGAGATGATAATAAGTATCAACAAGAAAACAAGAGGAAACAGAGATATGACACGCAAGTAAAACTGTGACTGAGTACAAGGCAGCAAATAGCAGCTAATTTAACAAGTACCCGATCGCTGCGGGTCCCAACAGTGATATCATATGGCCTAAGCATGATTGCTAATATGAATGGCAGTCAAATTTCTAGAAGACAGAGGGAAACATATAATTAACAATAAGCTATTCGACTTTACAGGACGGACCAAGTCACAATCCCCCAAGGTGCACGCCCACACGCCCGTCACCTAGCATGTGCGTCACCTCCAAAATAATCATATCATACCAAAATACGGGGTTTCATACCCTCAGGACCAGATTTAAGACTATTACTTACCTCAAACCGTGCAAACGAAATGCCTTTGCCCCTCGAATCAATCTCCAAATACCCCGAATCTAATCACAAGCAGCACGATATAATTAATATAGGCTAAAGGAATCAATTCCACAAGAAAAATACAAAATTATAAGCCAAAATCCGAAATAGGCTCAACCCAGCCCCCGGGCCCACGTCTCGAAATCCGATGAAAGTCAAAAATCCGACAACCCATTCACTTGATCATGAGTCTAACCATACCAAATTTATCAAAATTCGACACCATTTGGGCATCCAAATTCCCAAAATTCACTCTCCAATTTCCCTAGCCCTAACCCCCCAAATTTCACCTCAAAAACTCACCAATTAGGTGAAAAATTAGTGGAAAAACATAATTATTGAAGATAAATGGACACAAGGAGCTTACCTCAGTAATCACTTCAAAATTCTTCTCAAAATCCTCCAAAATCCGAGTTCAAAAATAGTGAAAATGGTGAAAAATCTCAAAACTTCGCTTATATAGGTTCTTCCCAGGCCTTCTGCACCTGCGGCCATTTACCCACATCTGTGGTTTCGCGAGTGCGAATAAGTCACCCGCTTCTGCGAAGAATTCCGCTCTTGCAGGCCAAAATCCTGCTCCTGCGGGCTCGCTTCTGCGAAGCCCATCCCACAGTCCACTTCCGCTTTTGCGGTCCTACTGCCGCATATGCGGTCACGCAGGTGCGGGAAAAGCATCGCACCTGCGATCATCTGCTGCCTCGCCTCAAGCTCCGTACCACCAGCGCTGCCCTATCCGCCTATGCGAGCTCGCACCTGCGGTTCCCCACTCGCAGGTGTGATTACATCAGCAGGAACAACACTTCAGCTATCCTTCAACATCAAACTTTGATCTGTTAGCCACCCGAAATCAACCCGAGGCCCCCAGGACCTCAATCAAACATACCAACAAGTCCTAATTCATAATACAAAATTAGTCGAGCCTTCAAACCACCTCCAACAACATCAAAAACACGAATGGCACCCCAATTCAAGCCTAATGAATTTTAAAGTTTCCAAATTCTATAAACGACGCCGAAACTTATCAAATCACATCCGATTGACCTCAAATTTTGCACACAAGTCATAAATGACACCAAGAACCTACTCCAAATCCCGGAAATCCAATCCGACCCCGATATCAAAATTTTCACTCTCGGTCAAATTTTGCCAAAAATTCCAACTTTCGCCAATTCAAGCCTAATTCTACTACGGACCTCCAAATCATATTCCGGACATGCTCTTAAGTCCAAAATCACCTAACAGAGCTAACAGAACCATCAAAATTCAAATCCGAGGCTGTTTACACATATGTCAACATCCGGTCGACTTTTCCAACTTAAGCTTCCAATTAAGAGACTAAGTGTCTCAATTCACTCCGACATTACTCCGGACCCGAACCAACCAACCCGGTAAATAACATAACAGTTGTAGAACACAATAAAAGCAGAAAATTAGAAAAAGGGGCTACAACTCTCGAGACGACCGGCCGGGTCGTCACATTGTTGATACGTGTCGAGATTCCCGCCGTGTTATCCGACAGGTTGCGAATACTTCGGCCTTCCGTTAATGGGTTCGTTAATGTTTCCTCGAGCTTGTTCGGAATCGGGATCGATTCTGGAGTCACGGGCTCGAGAATTTTGGAGACGTATGTTCTGACGGTTCCCATCCGTCATGCAATAGATGAGCCCAGTTTCGGCTGTATACAGTAAGAATAAGAGAATATTTGAGTAAGATAGAAAATCATTGAGTTTGAAGTTAGTACATATTTTGGAGTTTCTAATAACTCCTAACTGTCCTAAACAATCTATTTAGTTTGTAAACACAGTTTGTTTAATTCGTCCTCTAAAAGAATCAAAAATTCTGATCGCAATCGAACCTTTTAAATTTGGTCCTTGACAAGAATGACAATTCAACATATCATAATATCATAAACCACCATGCATATTGACATAACTTGCAATATTTATTTCACTAGGATCTTGATCTATATGAACACATGTTACACAAATAAAAATAATACTAAAACGAAATTCTAAAATATAATTCACAACTAAATTAAAGACTAACAAAAGAAACATTATCGATCAAAGGGTCCTTCTGGATCCAATTGCTTACATAGCTCCAAATATGTAAGATAAACAAGTCGATCTTTAGCACCTGTTCTATGATTCTTTGTATGCATACAAAAATATTTCAATGCATCAAGTTTGCAACATCCAATCATTTGCCCTAATAGCAAAAATAGCCAATTAATTGACGACTTTTTTTCGGAAATAACTGGCTTAACACAATTGTTTTGGTTGCAATATTTGCAGTTAGGAAGATTAGGATTCATCCAACTAATAGGTGCCCTATCACGCATAAAACTCTTAGTTTTTAAGATGAATGTAGCAATCTCTTTGAACTTTTCTTGCAAATCGTATTGAATTTGATATTGTTGTTCGCACTTTTTGCATTGAACTTCACCCGATATAACAATAATACCATTCGATATGAGATATTCGAGAGTGTGTACTATGGCACGTTTCGAAGTTGCCCAAGGATATGGTGGAGTGATTGCTTCACTCTCTCCTTCTTTAAGAGACGGTGTAGATTTTCTTCGTGTTCGTGCAGTCAAACCAACTCTCACACGAGCTCCTCCCGACGGTTCATTCATCTGATCATAAACTAGGGTTACATTTGATTCTGCAATATTTTCTTCTATATTGACGTCACAACCATATAGAAGAGTAGGAGATGGCGGTGGTGGTGGTATCACGAAGTTTAAAGGCAATGAAAAGGGTGGAGTGGTACTATCCATTGCTGCCATAGGTGAAAGTGAAAGAGTAAGAAGAAGTTCATCTTCATGGTCAAGCTCTTTCAAAGAAGACAAAGAGAGATTGTCCATTCTTGATTTTTGAAGAAGGAAAAAAGAAGGGAAGTTTGTTTTTATGAGAATTCTTGGGTTGATATTTATCTTATTTTCTTTCAACTTATGATAACAACTTCGTAGTAAAAAACGGATCTTTAATTTTATCCAATTACTACAAAAGTCAAGAACCCTAGCAGTTTTCTGCTTCTCATTTTGGATAGTTTTTTAAAATATATAATCCCACTATATCCGCAACAGTCTTCCCCTAAACGTGCATTTATTTGCATCATGCGTTCATTTTGTAACTAACTTGGTTTAGTATTCTCTTTTTGTTTAATTATTGTAATTTCTAGGAACAATTAATATTATTGATATCTTTCATTTTAAAAGTGGATATTATATCATTATCACTAAAAGCATCTTATAATATGGATCGATCATTTGGGTTTGAGGGTATTTTATAATAAGGATCATTTTCAAAAGAGGAATATTATAAATAGCTAATATGCAACACTGCACGATAAAAGTGAGTGATTAGCACAAATGTTCAACAACATTCGATATTTTCCTAATAAAAGAAGGTCCTAACAATAACTGATACGTAATAATGAGTACAACTTTAAATCAACCTTAGGATAAAATAATCTTTAGCTAAATATGATGCAATCGTGTTTATAGATCAACTAGCAATTCACCTGTACCCAACGTTCTATTTAAGAGGAAAATAAGTTGCATGTGTATTATCTCGTTTCGATATATTATTTATAGATCAACTAGCAATTCACATAGTTATAATTTATTTGCGTCGAGTCTAAAGTGACAGATAACAACTGAAAATCAATACGAATTAAGGTCATTGAAATTTCAACTATATATGATTTAGGTTTCAATTAAAAGGGGAAATAAGTCATAGCTAATAACCTCCACGGATGTCTTGGTGAGAAATGTCGTTATGCGAAGATCGATGTTAGCGATATCATGCCCAAAGGTTTGTAACCCGAAAAAAGGAATAGTAAAATTTATTAGGTTTGAAAAGACCTCTACGAAAAAAGGGAGACTACCCCCGCAAGGGTGGCCGAATTAGTTGAGCAGTAGATTCCCAAATGGGAGGTCGCACGTTCAAAATTAAACCCCCTGCATGCTTTCTCGATCGAGCTCGTCGCACGAGACTTGCCTAGTGTGGTTTGCCTCTTTAGTTTGGTTTGC